GAGGGAGGGAGGGGGAAGGGAGGACGTTTTGCTCAGATATTTTATTCAACGGAGCCATACTGGCATTTTTGGTAGTCACGTGGTGAACTGCTAAGCCGGGATGCAAATTGGACGGTCTTCCCCATGGCAAACGGGCTTACGCTCCAGTCGAGTGATTGTGAACGTCCATTAGCATTATGGAATTAATCGAATACAAGCTAACCGGCTGCGGTCAAATATAACCGGAAGGCCAACCTCGCTTTGCTGTGTGCTTCGGATCAGCAACTTTCGGTGATTCATAGACGAGGGCTTAACCAAGGTTTTTTTTCACTATTGCATTTGCGGTGCGACCTCGATACGGAGGTGCTTCATAGTGTGACAGGATCGCAGGCGAATGATGACAAAAAGGCCAAGTAAGAGGAGTTGTTGAGGGTGATTGAAAAAAAATTAGCATAAAACTCTCGACAACCTCTTTTACCATGGTATTGGGGACTGATAGAGTTGACAGAATGGGAACATAAAGGATGAATGGCCGGAAACAGTAACGAGTAACGGTGATTTGAGTTTGTAAGAGCCAGTATTTACTGATCAAAAACATTGATATGTTCTACTTGATGGTTGGCCAAATTCTGCCTTGATTGCTACATAACTTGCTACAAAACTTATTTGGAACAGCTTGCCTAGGATTGAGCATTTCACCTTTTGAAACGAATGGTTCAACATTTCTGAACAACTCACAAAACTCCAAACTTTATACTTTGCTTTGATTTTGTTGTCGTAAAGCGCCTCCCATTATTTCTGTTCTTCGCTAATCTTTGGTCTTTTCCACTTCTTTCTATCATCTTCTATTGATATCTGGATATTGTGTAGTTCTTTTTTGATTTCGACCTCAATTTCAATTTCAGCAAAAGGAACAAGTGGGAAAAATATGTTGACAAAACACAGAAAATGCAAATTTGGAAACATATAAAAACCATAAACTCCATACAAAAAACCAGTTAAATTACCTCAAACCTGACAGCAATGGATAAAGGAATCCTTTAGTCTAGCAGGTCATCTCAGAAAACTCTACTGCTCTGCATTGTACATATCTTACCATCACCTTGTGAACTGAGCAAGAAAAAGTTTTCCAGTTGATAGCCCCACATACCTGCTCCTAAACTCCTAATTGCAAGTTTTGGTATTTTGCCATTGAGACAACCACCGAGACGGGTAAGCGGCTTACGAGTGAAATTATTCTGAAGCTTCTCTTCTGCACATATGTGCATATATGCTTCCTTTTTGAAGAATTGAAAACAGTAAAACTAGATTCTACCAGAGGATGCACGAATGATTGGTAAGCACGAACCAATGCTTTTCCGGTACATAGTCCTCTGAGTATTTGAAATGTGAAACAATGAACCAATTTCACCCTTCTGGCAAAGCGCTCCGAAAAATCCGATCCCTTGATCATAGATATCAGCTCCTGAAAGGAGGTAGAGAAGATCGTCCCTGGAAACTACCAATGATATAAAAGTAGGTGAATTAGATCTGGCTCCGTAGCGCAGGCCTATTCCAATAGGCATTGCCACCTAGTTCCCCCAAAAAGTCAAGGACCATAACAGATTGTAGGATCCAATAGTGGAAACTGCACCGAGACTATATATAGGACTTCAAACGGAGAATAGTGGAAGCTGGTCTCTCAGATCCCAAATGACCAGTCATGCAGCGAAGCACCTGCTATAGAGATCGTCCTACGTTGGACGAAAGAAACGCTGGACAATTTCGAGTGGACAGACAACATGTTTTTGGAACATTGAAATCTAGCCAGCTGAGAAAAACCACCTGCAAGCTCTGGCAAAAAGAGCTGGCTGCAAAAGACCTAGCTGCTCACAGCGGTTGCAAAAGGCTCGCCAAGACTAAGGTAGCAAAGTCCAAGTACGCTCCTACAAGGAAACCTGATAGGGGAGAAGGAGATAAGTTCATCTTGCGGTTGGCCAGAGTGGAGCACTGAAGGCTGTAAGGAACAGCAACGGTGTTAAGCTGAGGAAGCTGGCGAGTTCAGGCACAGGTGGAATACATACTGACAGACTCCTTGACGAAGAACTCCACCGTGAGAACAGCTCCCAGCTAGGTAGAGCCTTCGGCTAATCTCATCGCCCTCTGCAGAAACGTGGATAAATTTCGGAGTATTAGGCAGAAACCGGTACACAGGGATAAGTCGAGTGATCCCACTGGTAGAAACATAAACTAAAAGGTCGGTTATAGCCTTCAGGGTTTAATGAACCCGAGAAAATGTATGAATCAGTTTCACTCATGAGGAAGTTCTTACAGAAGATATCTGCATGTATTATGAAGATACTTCCATTGACTGCATGATCGTAGCAAAATCGCGAAGGTCAAAAGGTCGTTCGCTCAAAGGACCTCACCTTCCGCGCTCCATTGCAATCCCGGTGCCCTAAGACAACTAGAATGCTGAACTATCCCGACAATGCTTCGTCACAATTGGCCTGCTTCCAAAAATTGGTGGGTTATAGTTGCGGTTTTGCTATCTCGTACACTACCACTATTTCTCCTTGTCTTGTCGTTCTGTCCTTGTTACAAATGGTCATCTTTATTTGAAGATGTTGAATTTAAATAAAAGACTGGCATTTTTGAATAACTGACTGATACACCTACATACCCATACCCTTCCATCCCAAGAGTAACTTATCTTGGATCTAGCGTATTTCAGCAGGATTGGTATAGTTTGCCTTGTTTTTTTTTCTTTTTTAAAAGCCTTGTCTCTCCTTTTCTTGACCAATATCCCCTTTTCAGTTCTCGTGGTGTTTCATCCATTTCTCTTCGTGACTTCTTATTTGTTCAGGTCGTCGGAGCCCTCTGCCTAGCCGCAGCGCGGCGGTCAGTCCTTGTCTGTCGACCTCCACCGTCTAAGCTGACGATAGAATCGATATGATTGGTTTACCTCTGGAAGCTAGCCTTCCATTTATTATTTCTAGTCTCCTGTTATTAACGACTCCTGCTATTAATGCGTATGGAAGCGACAAATGTGGGTATTGTCACTTCCTTGTCGCCACTTTTGAAGCGGTTAGTCTTGAATTTCTTTGATACTGAATTAGATTCGCTTCGTCAAGAAGATGGTAATTGATGGTGCGAGGCTGTAGAGGCCGCTTGGTAGAAGCTGGTTTTCAATTTTTTGATTTTTTGAAGACTCTTATGGGAGGCAAATTGACTCCTTGTAACTGTTTGTTCAACCCTAAGATCAGTATATATCGAATATATAGCACTTATAATTGAGAAATCCCAGTAGTAAAAAACACCATTTTCGAAGCAAAGCAAATAACTAACTATGTTTTTTTTTCCAAAGTTTTTCTTCAACTCTTTGAAAGTTGGTCAAATTTCTATTCACGAACATTTCTGCGGCATTACCACTCTAAGCCCAAATCGGCTGTACGTATCCGTTACATCTTTTCTATTAGTTATCGAAAGAAAAAAGGTTTGAGAGATTTTGATGAGATAGCCTGCACATCGTCAAATTAATTATGCTGAACCTATACAGCTCCTTGTTGGCCTGGAAACTACATCCTCATGTTCGCGTTGTGACTGTAGTTTGGAGGGGCACCTCTTTGTAACATCTTTTCTGTCTGATTCATCCTAAATTTGCTCTCATTTGCAATCATATGTTTGATTTTTGTCCTCCGTGAGGATACTCATGGGGGTGAACTATTTATACACAGATATATATCTCTTTATGTGTGAGTTATATACATGTATCTATACATATAATACTGACATAATCAAAGCAACTTGGTGCGGACAATCTATCTTTCTTCCTTTGTTGTGAATTTGAAAACCTACCGTGAGTGTAACTTCTAGGGGGAAACCCGAAATAATCAAGTGTCTACTCCTTCAATTTCATTCCAGCAGTTGATAATGATTTAGTGGGTGATCATCAGGTGATAATAACTTACCTCCACTGTGCACTGGGGCGAGTCATTTGGTAGGGGAAACATGCAACGCAGTATGAGGTCAGAAGTGGATCATTAGTGGATACTGAAAAGGCTCACTTGCCTCCTTAATACCAGTCAGCACTAATAATAACTAATGAGCTATCACCGAGAAGTCACAATTTTTAGGGTCTCCGGCGAACTTCTCGGCACCATTTTGCCGGTGGTGATACGGCTTGGGAAGAACGAAACTTAGGAAGATATGCTACGAGGTAATTTTTTTCAAATTTTCTTGATATTCTTAATTGTATTTTTTTTTCAGTGAAACACGGTTCGTAGAGACC